AGGCCGTTATTGGGTCCACCCTGATCCCTGACCTAGACCACTTCCCATGCTGTAGCTCACCCCTCCCGTCCTTCACGTATCTATTGGAATGTTCCCCTGCCGCCTCACCAGGTGAGGTCTCCCTGTTAGATGCCCTCTTTCTCTACCTTTGCCATTAGCTATCACCTTTGCAGTTGTTCATTACCTGTACAATACGTGACTGCTTCATGTTTGTCTGCCCCCACTGGACTGGCTGCACCACAAAGTCAGGGCTAGGGTTGTCATCACCATCGTGTCCCCGGCACCACCCGGATACAAGGCTGGACCCAAGCAGCTGCTCAAGGAAAGCTTTTTGAATGAGTGAGTGAAAGAACGAACAAATGAGTAAACATTTGACTAATAAGTGCATGAAGGATTCAATAAATAAGTGAGCAAACGACTAAATGAATGAGCCAGTGAAGAACAATACAAAGTAAATCCCAAATTGCAAATATTCTAGAACTATGTAGATGAAATGTTCTTCATCTTCTAGAATCATGTTTTATGTTCCCGGGGAAAAGTAAACAGAGAGACGCGGGTGGAAAGAGAATAAATTGTGAAGTAGAAAACTGCAGCGACATCTAGGTGCTGGCAGAAGGAGAGTCCTTTAGAATAAAACACTTGCTGGAGATTAATTTGGAGGAATTGAAAAAGAGACGTAACGACCACACGCCCGAAAGGTGGAATTGAACCACTCTGTCGCTAGACAGCTACAGGTTTGAAGCCTGCACCCCAGACCACTGAGGATCATCCGGGCAGAAAACCCTACTCCCCAGAAACTATATAAAGTACCAAATTATCTTCATTTTAGAGTCATGGTTATTTCATTCGCCATGGAGTAGACAATGAATTACAAGACCCATCAATTATGTGGATCTGTTTATCACAGTGGAGGTCTTTTTAAAAGTTTTTTTCTACAGTTATGGCATCAATAGTACTCATAATGGAAACTGCCTAATTTACATGGCGCCTTGCATCCTGGGAATCAGCTCCCCGGGACCTAGCCAGTTATTAAAGGGACAGGAGTTCCTTTTTCCAAAGTGAAAAGTCAGTGTTATAAAGAGAACAAACTCAAAATTCGGAGCCCAGAAGCTCTATTCCCGGAAAAATCCCAATTCTTCTGCAGAAAAGTGAGTGAGTTCCTGACATAGCATGATTTAGCCCAACCCCAGAGACGCCATGCAGGCAGCTATGGGGCTAGTGCGACGCCTGCTGTTCCGTTGTGTAACTGCGGGGGGATTTCAGAGCTCTTCGTGAACTTTATTGAGCTTCTACTGACTCCCAGGCACTGTGCTAACTTCTGGGAATGATAGACAGCTTGTCCCATTGCATCGAGACATTAGAGATCATCAATTTCTACACCTGCGTGTTATGGTAAGGGAAACTGAGGCTCAGAGACGAATAATACCACATCCCAGTTCACGCAGCCCATGCACCTGGAAGAACTGAACCCAGGCCATTATAATTGTTAGTACAAAAAAGGTGATTCTTTTAGAAAACAAATCAGTGATTCCTTGACAGCAATATTATTCGCTCGCATGAAATTCTCCCATGACTTCCATCTTAGAGTAAAAGTCAAAGTTCTCTCCCTGGTTTACAAATCCCTACGATGTAACCCCTTTCTGCCCTCTAACCCCATCTCCTATTTCCCCCCCTTACACTTGGCTCCAGGCATGCAGCTGTCCTGCTGCTCACACCAGTCGCGCTTCCTCCTTTTGTTTGCTGGTCCCCCAGGCTCGGTTTCTTTTTCTCCATGTGCTTGCCGCCTCCTTCCACTCTGGCTTCTGCTCAAATATTAACACCAACTGCCCAGTTTAAAATAGCAAGCCCTGTCACTCTCTCCCCTTCCCCTCCATCACCTCCATCACCTCCGTCACCACTTGCTCCATGTCTATATGCCTGTTGTCTGTCTGTTCCCGGTACAATATCAGCTCCATGGAACTAGGGACTTTTTGTTCATTGCTGTAACCCTAGTCCCTAGGGGTGCTTCACTGGGTAGGAGATGTTCAGGAAACGTTGAAAGGATGAGTGAAAGAACGTTCTTACTATTTTTCTCTGAGCCTCAGTCTCCCCATCTCTGTAGAGCTCTAATACTGAGCTCACAGGATGAATCATTCTGAATCCATGAGTATGCACGTCTGGTATTGAGTCAGGCAACTGGGAGGCTCTCAAGAAAATTTATTTCCATCCTCAACTTTTTTTTTTTTTTTTTAGTGGAGTGCCAAGGATGGGCTTGGGGCTTTAGCTATTTCTGGACCCAAAATTCAACCAGCCCCTCTTCCCGGACTTTCTTTTTTATTATTATTATTATTTTAATACTGGGAACTAAACCCAGAGGCTCTTCACCACTGAGATACATTCCAAGTCCTTTTCATTTTTTTAAATATTATTTTTTAGGTGTAGATGGACACAACACAATGCCTTTACTTTTATGTGGTGCTGAGGATTGAACCGGGGTCCTGCCCTTGCTAGGGGGGCAGTCCACCGCTGAGCCACAATCCCAGCCCCCAAGTCCTTTTCATTTTTAATTTGAGACAGGGCCTCACTGAATTGTTGAGGAGCTCTTTAAATTGCTGAGCTGGCCTTGAACTTGTGATCCTACTGTTTTAGTCTCCGGATCCCTGGGATTACAGATGTGCCCCCTCTGCCACGTATGGGGCTTTCCCTGCTCTCTGATAGAAGAAAAAATACTTTGCCTTAGGGAAACTAAGAATAAAAGCATCTCAGAAATGTTGCTATTCTTTTTAACTTGGAAATTTAAAATATTGTGCCTGCTCGGAAAATACAGATTTAAGAAAAGCCCCCTGAGCCCCCTTTGTCTTAATTATTTTTTAGTTGTTGAGGGACCTTTATTTAATTTACTTATTCATAGGTGGTGCTGAGAATCGATCCCACTTGCCTCACACATGCTATGCAAGCGCTCTACCACTGAGCTACAACTCCAGCCCTGAACTTTGTTTTAGATAGCTACAGTTGGGCATCTCCTGTAAACAAAATCAGTGCCTGTAACTAGTACTTAGAATATCATTATCTGTCTCCTAAAATGGTACATCCTCTAGTGGCAAGTGATATGAATTTATGTGATGCATGAATGGATATTTTAAATGTTAATATTTTGGGGTTTATCTTTACTCTTATCTTCTATTTCTGGCAAGTAATACTGGCAAGTAATACTGACTTCTTTTCAAGGTGGGGAAATAACTTTTTTTTTGGCTTCTTTTTAGATATACACAACAGCAGAGTGTATTTTGACATATTATACATACACACAGTGTAACTTATTCTAATTAGGATCCCATTCTTGTGGTTGTACATGATGTGGAATTAATTGTCATGTCTTCATATACGAACATAGGAAAGTGACGTCTGATTCATTCTACTGTCTTTCTTATTTCCATCTCCCTCCCTTCCCTTCATTCCTCTTTGATTAATTCAGTGAACTTCTCTTCTTCCCTCTCCCTTCCTTAGTATGTTAGCATCCACATATCAGACAGAATATTTGGCCTTTAGTTTTTCGTGATTGGCTTATTTCACTTGGTATGATACTCTCCTATTCCATCCATTTACTGGCAAATGTCATAATTTCATTCTTCTTTATGGCTGAGTAATATTCCATTGTGTATATATACCACATTTTCTTTATCCATTCGTCTGCTGAAGGGCATCAAAGTTGGTTGCATAGTTTAGCTGTTTTGAAGTGAGCTGCTATAAACGTTGATGTAGCCATGTCACTGTATTATGCTGATTAGGAAATAACATTTCTTTTTCTTTTCTTTTTAGTTGTTGATGGACCTCTATTTTATTCATTTATTTATATGTGGTGCTGAGAATTGGACCCAATGCCTCACATTTGCTAGGCAAGTGCTCTACCACTGAGCCACAATCCCAGCCCCCCAAAATAACATTTCTTTATAAAGTATTTTTGTTCAGTTTAGTTTTGTGTGGTGCTAGGGATGGAGCCCAGGGTCATGAACAGCTAGGTAAGTGCTACCACTGAGCTACCTCCCCAGTCCTTTTTATTTTTTGAGACAGAGTCTAAGTTGCTGAAGCTGGTCTCCAACTTGTGATCCTCCTGCCTCATCCTCCTAAGTCGCTGGGATTACAGGTATGTGCACCCCCCCTTCCCCAGCCCCAGCTTTATTTCTTAATCAATTTAAAGAAAAATATCAGGTAAATTGCAAAACAGTTGGTTTAAGGGACATGAAAGACAACAGGGGCTGAAAGTTTGGGAAACCACGTCATGACTAACAATGGCAGGTTCTGTTTACTGAGCATTTATTATATGCCAGGCATGGTACCAAGGGCTTTACATGTAGGTATAGTTAGGGCGACAGTTTTCCACTGGGGTAAAAGTATGTATGGTCGAGGTCATACAGCCAAGATGTAGAGGAGTTGAGATTCAATCCTAAATCCGTGGATTTTTAGACTTCCTCCTCCTCCCCCAGTTTAGTTTTGGAACCCGCAGCTCACAGATGTCATGAGGGATATAGTTCCAAGGCAATGGGGACGGAGAGCAGTGGGTGAGGAAAGACATTTGGGAGGTCGCCTAGACACGGCCTCCTGACTGATTAGGTATTGGAGGGAGGCTGGGGTCTGGGATGTAACGACGTGGGCAAGTCCCTGAGTTGGCAGTCGGGTAGGATGAGGAAGAGGTTTGGGTATGTGTGTGGGGTGAGGGAGCCTTCCACAAGGTCAGTGGACAGTGGCCTGGGTCCCAGGTGAGATGGCTGCACAGTAGGCAGTGTGGGCTCCATTAGTGACGTCTGCCTGCAGCACAGGCACGGAAAGTGGCTGCCAAGGCTCGGTTAGCCCTGGAATGGGCGGTCTCTCAGCATCTTCCCTGGATCATTTAATACTCTAAACAGATGGAAGCAGGGGCTTCTTCCGCAGAGATGGGTGATGTTCTCCTGCGGTGTCACTTAAGTGCTTTCCAGTGCAGGAAGGTGAAAGCTGAAGGGGACTTGAAGCACAGGAGGCGTTGGTTTTCCACAGGAGTCTTTATTACAGTGTAAATCCAAGCGCAGGCCTCCTTTGGGCCCCATGCAAAGCCCCTGCTTTGGGGCTACCGGTGTCCTGGAGACACCAACCCCTCACAGCGCTTCCAGCGGCGGGACCGCGGAAGTGCAGGGCGGCGCCCTGTCTAGTCAACTACAAGTCCCAGCAGGCCCCGCGGCCAAGGTGCCTTATCTTCCCCAAACTCCTAGAGCAGAGCCACTTGGGAAATGTAGTCCTGGCCGCTCAATTTGAGCTCTTTCCCTAGTGGGAGTGATCCTGACACCCACTGGGAAATGGCTCAGGCCGAAGAGCGGTGAGGGTGGGGGTAGCCAGGAGATGGACTGGGACAGAGAGCTGCTGGGGTTAGGGGAAGGCGTCCCTCGGCAGAGACACCCCTCTCATTCGGCTTTGGCTTTGGATCCGGAGGCTGCAGCTGCTGCTGAGGAAAGGGCTCCAGTCCCTGGGATTTTAGCTCGGATCCTGAGGGAGAACCGCTTGGGGTCACCAGGTGTGGTCAGAGATGCCAAAGGCCATGGATATTGGGAAAACTGAACTGGGGAACTAGTCGAGTACCCCAAACCAGCTCCTGCCTCCACCTAATGGCCTGCATTGGAGTCATCTCTCATCCTGCTCTGAGAAGGGGGCATGTAGCCCCAAGAGATTTAGCGACCCATGCAAGTGTCTGGGAAGATAAAAGGAAAAAGTTCCCATGCTCCCCATTTCCCCTCCCGTCCATCTCCGCCTCAGGCCCTTACTTAGCTTTGATGTGGCTCAACTGATTGGTCACCAATCCCACATACTGGTCGATCTGGGCCTGGGGAAACCAAGAAGGAAAAGAAAGAATTGGAAGGAGTTCTCTTCAATTCATGAAGGAGGTGCCTTCTCACCCACCTCTAAATCAGAAGCTGTGGGGAGTGGCCCACCACTCCACCTTCAACTCTAATAAAGTCCCCTTGGATGACAGAGGTTCAAGTGTAAGGTCAGTGGCTGGGCCATGTTCCCCATGGGGCAGAGATGTCAGACCTGCAAGTATCTATCTGCCAAGTGAGCCTCTGTTTCTGAGCACCTTGGTTGATCCTTGAGTTTGTGTGTGTGTTCGCCTGCGTGTGCTGTGAGGTATGGAAAGCCTTAGAGAGTAATGAGTTCCTGAGTGAACTGATTTAAATATTAGTTTAATTCACAATGTTAGCTGACTCTGTGTGTCTCGGTGACTCCAGTCTGTGAGTTAGGTCCGCCTCTCTGGCAGGACACCTATCATTTGGCTCTCAGCTGGGCTGAGAAGGAAGTGTCAGTCCACCTACCTGACTCTGGATAGGATGGATGTCAGTTGGTCCTGGACATTCCAGTGGTGGGGATAACAATCACCTCTCCCAATTTTGACTGACATGAGAGGCAATCCCTGTTTCAGGTAATGAAGGCATTTATCAGGGTGCCTGACTTTGGCTGGGATGGGTGTCAGTTAGACCCAGCTATGTGTAGGCTACATGGCATTGATCTGTCTGCCTCTGTATTTTGGTCTCAGTGGTATGGGGGCGTGGGGGGAGGCAGCATGCTCCCATCTATCTGCCTGGATGAGCACTATTCAGCCCCAGGGTGTGGCACAGAGAGGAGGCAGCTAGGCTGGCCCTCTCTGGCTAGAACATGCCAATTGGACCTTGGAACTGCCATCAGCTACCATCAGACTTTGGATCTACCATCAGAGGATGAGTTAGTCCATCTGCCCTGGGTTGGGGCATGTCCGTTGGATCCTGGTTCTATCAACTAAAATGCTTGTCTCTGGCTATTAGACATATTAGACTCTAGTTCTGATGAAGGGCAGCAGCCAGAAACCTGGGTCTGGCTGGGACATCTGTAAGTGGGACCTGGTTCTGGAAGGGAGGTTTGTCCTACCACCCGTGTTTGGCCCTGGAGCTTGCCACACGCACCTGGTGCTGCCGATACAGCAGAGGAACAGTGAATAAAGCAATCACTCCTGCAGGTAGAGAGACGGGGATCAGGGGTCTCCCGGGAGATCAACAGCTCCAACTGAAGCTTCATCCCCCACCAAACTCCAGCAACCCACCTCCCCAGGTTGCCCTCCACAGACACCCCAGCTCACCCAGAATGAGAAGAGTCAAGCCGTTGAAGACGGCACCCACGAAGGTCAAGATGTAGAAGAGGAGAGCCAGCTGGGGGTGAGGTCAGGGTCATCAGGGTCTATGGGCTGGGAACTTACCCAGCCATGGTCCTCCCATCCCCCTCCCAGAAATGAGTGCTGGGAACCCAGGAGGGCTGTGGGCAGGGGCTTCAGAACACCTTGAGGGAATCCACCAGGTCTTCGACAAGGAAGAAGTGCCGCAGCTGGGTGGCTGTGGAAACCACGTGGGAGGCGATCTGCTGGGACCAACGTTCTGTCTGCTCCCGAGTCAAGGTCAGATCCACATCCAGGTAGGCCCTGATGGGACAAGGGGTGTGGGGTGAGTCAGCGGGTGGATGGGGCTCGGAGTGGGAGGAGGGGGCTCAAACAAGGGCAATAATGAGGGTTGGGGACAACACCAGTTAGAACTAAAGGACAAATCAAAGGAACCACATGAAGAGGGCTGGGGTCAACATGGGGGTCATAAGAAGGAATCAGGAATTAAGGGATCCAGGTTAAGACCAGAGATTAGTATTGTGGGTCAGAACCCACTTTAAAGTCAGGTCAGACTAGAAAGTTAGAATGAGGAGGGGCGGGGCCAGTACCAGATGCCAGTTAGTGCCTGACTTGAGGTCATGGGTCATGATTTAGGGCCAGTGCTGGGGCCTGATGGAATTGGGGTCAGGGGTTCTCACTGAAAGGGGTTGGCGCCATCCCCCCGGTGCACAGCCTGCAGCACTTTGCGGTAAACCCTGAGAGAGATGGTGCCGCAGAGCAGCAACAGAGCCACGTGGGCGGCCACCGACACGATGCTAAAGTGCAGGAGGCAGAGGAGGGAGACCATGAGGCCAGTGAACACCACGCCTGACGTCCTCGTGTCCTTCCAGTACAGCAGGTCCGCCACTGTGGAGGGGGAGGCATCAGGCTGCGGCTCGAATCTGGCCTGTCTGACCTCTTGATCCCCGTTTCTGTCCCACGCCCGCACCATGCCTTCTAACAGTGCACCCGGCTGAGCCCTAACGGGGTTTCCTTTTTGGGGGGGGGTGGGGAGGGAGCAGATAATGAGGATTTAACCCGGGGACAATTTACCCCTAAGTTACACCCCCAGCCCTTTTAAGTTAATTAATTAATCATTTTTGAGACAGGGTCTTGCCAAGTGACTGAAAGTCTGCTTCAATTGCTGAGGCTGGCCTTGAACTTGTGATCCTCCTGCCTCGGCCTCTGAAGTCACTGGGATTATAGGCATCCGCCAATGGGCCCAGCTTTAATTCATTGTTTTTAAGAGCTAAGCGACTTTCCCCTAGTGTGGCTGTTCTTTTTTTTTTTTTTTTTTTCTTCCTTCCTTCCAGGTACTGGGGATTAATCCCAGGGGCAGGCGTTCTACCACTGAGCTATACCCCCAGCCCTTTTTATTTGGGGTCTGGCTAAATTGTTCAGGCTGGCCCGGAACTCTCTATCCTGCTCCAGCCTCCCCTGTGGCCAGGATTACATGCAAGCACCTCTATCTCAACGCCTCAGTCATTTCATTCTGCTGAATCCTATACTTATCCCAGGGTCTTTCACTGTTTCCTAACCCCTCCTCCCCTTGACCCCAACAGTGAGGCAAGCACCATTCTTCTACAGATATTCTTACCTCCTGGAGCTTCTATTTCTGAGATAGACTCCCAGGGGTGGCATTGCTCTGTGGACCAGCTGTGTATTTTTTAATGTCATGCATTTTGTCAGGTGGCTTACCAGCAAGACTCACAAGTCTTATTTCCAAGAGCAACATAAGAGTGATCTTTTCCCAACATCCTGCCCTGCAACGGAGGTTGTTCTTTTTCAACAACCTGTTTTTTTTTTTGCCAGCCTGACAGTGTAGTGATAACTCCTTGACAGTCTTACCAACACGTTTTCCTAAGTCTTCAATATATTCATAATACCATGCTCTCCTTTCTAAGCACTAATTCAAATTTCTGACCCTTTTCAGAGATGCTAACTCACCTCTCAAGCCTTGCCTGAGCCCTGATCGGTGACTTCCAGGCTCCAAGGTTTCAACGGTCATCAACCATCCTCCCAATAACCTAGTCTCACTTCAGCCCCAAACTGTGAGCTCAGTGGTCCTCTATTTCCTTCCAGACTCTCCCCATCCTCTCATCCTCACTCCAAATCAAACTGACCCATCCCACACCCACACCAGCCCTCTCACTTCGGTATTCTCCCTATACCCATCCTGGCATTTACCTCTAAATAGGAAAGGACCCCCACTCCCTCCCAAGTGCAAAGCCCTCCCAGGCAGGTTCCCCAAAGTCCAGGCCAGTAGGTGGGGGAGGGGCCGGGTCGCCTGAGGCGGGGCCTAAGTTTAGGCATGCTGGGGGGAGGGGGCCTCGCACTCGCAGCTGTGCTGGCTTGTCCAATCCCTGAGTGACAGCACCGCCTGGGCCTGAAGCTGGGGGAGGGGACCTTGTTGCTCCCTAGCCTCAAAGCCCTGGCTTGGAGGAGAGGGGGACCCCACAAGCCCTCCAAGACCTCCCTAGACTCCCCCTGACTCCCCCCAGCCCCAGCTTGCAGTGCCGGGGAATTCCGGACCAATAGGAAACTTGCCCAAGATTGGGGCGAGACCAGGGCACATCTGTACCCTTTCCGCTGTCCCCCAACCCCAGTCCCAGGCTGCCCCATAAACCCACCTTTACTCCCCATCTTGACTCTAAGGGAGAGGCTGCAGACACCACTGCTTCTCAGAAATTTTGCCCACTTGTGGAACCCGCAGGAAGGGAGTAGAGGGGCGGAGCCCCTGTGTAAGAAGCCAATGGCTGTCCATAGAGGTGTGGCCAATTCCAAAATTGGAACTCTTTGTAAACAGCCTAGAACAGTGATGTCTACAACCAACCTGTGGCGGTTCCTGGAGGCAGAGTACATTTAAAAGTAAGGCTGGGTCTATTTACAAGTGGTCTATAGACGTGGTCAGGGAAGAGAAGAGTTTTTAAAGGAGTAGAATTTACTTATAAAAATATCATAGCCGGGTGTGGTGGCACCTGCCTGTAATCTCAGCGGCTTGGGAGGCTGAGGCAGGAGGATCGCAAGTACTTTAGCAAATCCCTGAGCAACTTGGCAATACCCTGTTTCAAAATAAAAAAAATTAAACGGGCTGGGGATGTGGCTCAGTGTTAAGCACCTCTGGGTTCAATCCCTGGTTTGAAAAAAAAAATCCTATAATTGCATACAGGAGAAAGCCTATATTTTCAGAGATTTGGCATGTCCACAGTCGGCATGTAGGGAGTCCAAAAGAGGGAGGATTCATTTTTAGCAATCAGTCAGTCCTAATGCTTGAAGGAGGGCTAACTTCTGGAATGGGCGGGTAACTACATAAAAGGAGCCAATGGTAATCTCAGCTAAGGGGAAATTATGCTAATTTCCCCACTGTCCTGTGTTCCTTTGCCAGGTTGGCCCCTTTAACTTCCAGCCCTCCCACATTTAGCCTGCTGTAGTCCAAGGGAGCATCTGCTCACACACTGCTTACCTAGAATGTGTGGCTGCAGGGTGAATTCTGATTGATCCCTGCTATGGAGACACTGTCCCAAGACTGGCTCCGGCTCCAGTGGTCCCCAAGGCTCCTCTTCCTCGGCCAGCGAGGGCTCATCAGGCCCAGAGTTGGAATCTGGGGATCCTGGTTGGGATGGAGTACCAGCCTCAGGTGTCCTACAGCTGGGGCTGGGCTGGGGGGTCAAGACCTCAGGTGGCGAGGACTGAGAAAATCCACGTTGTAGGTCCAGTTCTGGCGCAGTAGAGAGAGAAGGTCGTGAGTATTCTCCTTGGAGGTGCCCCAAGAGACTACCCACCCCTCTTGGCTTAGGTCCAACTTGGACATCTCACCTTCCTTAGCCGCTCCCTCCTCCAATCCATCAGGTTCCTCGTCTTCCAGAGGGGTGGAGCTGCTGGTGGCAGAGTCCTCCCCAGATCCCACTCCCCTGGCAGCCCAGCCTAGTTGGTCCAGCCGGAGCCTCAGGTCCTCCAGAGGGCGTTCAGTCGGAGGTACGGTGTCAGGATCACCCCGGCGTCCAGGCTCTGGGGACTGGCTCAGGCTGGGGATGCTCTCCAAGCTGTCTCCTAGGCCGGGCTGAGGGGGCAGGTCTCGTGGTTCTGAGACTGAACGGCCCTGAGGCCGGGGGCGGCGGGCAGCTGAATCTCTACGGCCCCCAGAGCCCACCACACCATCGAAGGCAATGTAGGAGAAGGTCAGCTCCCGGGGGGTACCCCAGTCCTGGGACGTGGTCTCCTCCTCCTCATCCTCTGAGAATTCCCGGGCTGTGTGCAGCTCCCGAAAATCCGAGTCGTCGTTTCCTCCTGTTGGGCAAAGAAGGGCTGTGAGCAGAATCCTGACCTACACAGGTGCCCCTTTCAGTTCCCACCCTCGTATCCCCCCATCCACTTACCTTCTGTGGAATCAGGGGTAGAAGAGGCTGTAGATGGAGCTTCTTCTGCAAGAAGAAAGAAATCAAGACTCTTAGGAAGCTTATAAACTCTGAATCACAGAAGTGCCAGTCCTGGAATCTAGGATGATCTGAATTAAGGAATCTTAGAATATGTTGAGCCACAGGATCAGGACATTCTGCATATAGACTGCAAAATCTTAGCATCACTGCTATGAGAGGCTCAAAGTCTAACAAGTAAGTTCCTATCCAGGAATTTCAATCTTAGAATCTTCAACTTAAGGATCTTGGGAGGTTTCAATTTACTCTTTAAACAACCATTTACTGAGTGCCTACTATGTGCCAGGCACTCTTCTAGGCCCTGGGAATATATCTATGAGCAAAACAAAAGTCCTGCCCTCATAGAGGTTACATCCTATGGGAGAGGCAGACAATACATAAGTAAATATATGACATAGGGTCTTAATAAGTGTGTGAAGAAAAATAATCAGGGTAATAGGAGAGAAGGAGAGGTGGTGCTGTTTCAGATAAGATGGTCCCAAAACCTTCTCTGTTAAGATGATATTTGAACAGAGGCCTGAATGAAGTAAGGAAGCCATGAGGACTTCTAGGAAGAGCTTTCCAGGCAGAGGGGAAAGCTAGTGCAAAGTTCCTGAGGCAGGCGCTATGCTTATATATGGTAAGTGGAGCAGTGTGCCTGGAGCAAAATCAGTGGGAGAAAGGGCAGGAGATGACAGGAAGACTAGCAGGGGTGGGGTGGGGAACAGACCAACCAGCAGGCACTCACTTTATAATGCGAGATAAGAACAAGATCTTAGAATGTTGGGATGAGACTCTGAAATTCTTAGAATTTGGGCATCTGGACACTCCAGATATGCAAGTGGCTAGGTCTGAGAATGTTGCCATCCCCAGCTGTCAGAACCTTTCTGAGTGGGACAGAGGATGGTAAACACGGACTGCTAGAGCTCTGGACTCAGAGATCAGGAAGATCAGACCAAGCATTTTCAATTGGGAATCCAGCCCCTAAGAACTGGGTTGGGGTTCTGCACACAGGTGATGTCTGCACATAAGGTTTGGAAATTGAAACAGGACGCCCCCTGCCCCCACCCCGCAACTTCGGCTGGAGAATCAGAGGCCTGGAGCTGAGTGGGTCTTCCCCAGGATTACCACTAATGAGTGGAAAAGCCTGCTGAACACCCAAGAGTCCTAGCACTAACCCAGGGATGTCTTTTCTGGAGACAGGGGATTGGACAATTTGGGCTAGATTAGGGCTGCTTCTCGGGTAGACTACGAGGGTGGGTAATGGGAAGTCATACCTCTCTTCTCCATCCTGGCTCTGCCCCTCTATTCAACCCCCTCCCCGCCAGCTGCGGCCAGCACCAGAGCCCGGGGACAGCTCCCCGCGCACCTCCTCATCCCAGGGTTGGGCGGGGCGACACATCCCAGCGCCCCGCGCGCCGGGGTCCAGTGTCCCCATCTCCTCCCTTTTTCACCCGGGTTCTCCAGGTCAGGCTGCCCCCGCGGCTGCCAGAGCGCAGGGGGGGAGGGGAGAGCTTCCTTTGTCTCCTTCGTCTCCTCCCTTCATCCCGGCTCTCCTGCGGCTCAGCGCCCAGGGGATATCAGGAGGACCCCACTCGGGCCTCTGAGACCCACAACAGGCCACAGCCTCCCTACTCACTGCAGTGGGCGAAGACCGGCAGGACCTGCCCCATGGCCCCCCTCGGGCCTGCATCGGGACCCCAGCCCACTCCGGCCGCGCCGCCCTGGGCCCGGGGCCGCGGGCGCTCATCTCCGCCGCGCCCACGCCACCGCCGCCATCCTCGCCGCCTCCTCCTCCCGGGCTGCTCCAGCAGCCGCCGCCGCCGTCCTCTGCTCGGCTTGGCGAGCGCGGGCGGAGCCGCGGCGGGGAAGGCACTGCAGCGCGGGACCGGGGGCGGGGCCAGAGGACCCGCGGGGCGGAACCGGAGGGAGGGCGAGGGGGCGGGGAGACACCGACGAACACGGGAGAGGCGAGGCCTTTTTACTAGAGGGGCGGGCTTAGGAGGTTAGATGGCCGGCCTAAGGGGCGGGGTCTATGTGGAAGTGGGCTCAGCCTTCGGGGGAAGAGCGACAGAGCCTGGGATAGGGTGAGCGGCCCGAAAGAATGCTTAAGCGAAAAGGACGGGGCGTGGATCCCAGAGTTGGTTGGAGCGGGTCTAGAGGTGGCACTGAAGAATGGGAAGAAAGAATCTAGCGCTCGGAGATATGCTCCGAACCTAGGTTTGCAGAGGGAATGAGAAAGAGGGCGGGAAGAAAGTACTCTGAAACTTTCGAGGCAAAGGGTGGAGCTCAAAAGCCTGTAGGACTATTCAAAAAATTGGGCGGGGTCACAGCTAGAGGCGTGGCCTAGAGGGACTAGGCACAAGAGAGTGGCCATAACCTGGAGAGAAGGGGCCAGTTTCGACTAGCCGGAGTTTAGGGATGGGCTGAAGTTGAGGAGCTAGAGGCGATGCCAGGACTGCGAAAATTGATTTCTCTCTCTCTCTTTTTTTCTTCCAGTACTGGGGATTGAACACAGGTCTTGGGGCAGGACTGCGAAAATTGGAAGACTCAGGCAGTGGGCTTGAATTGATGGCAGGACCTGGAAGTTAAAGCAACTGGACCCCTGGATAAGGGTCCAGAAGGGAAGCAGTCGGTAAAATATTGTACTTAAAGGTTTTGCTGGATGCGGGACCACTGAGGTGGGCGGAGCTTGGATTGAACCGGGCTGGGATTTGAAGCCCACGAAAACACAGATTCTAGAGCTAATTTCTCTGTGACACCGATGAACATTTTCTGATTCAGTTTCCTCTTCTTGATGTATAATAGTGTAACGAATATGGCCGGTGCTGTGTAATAGTGTGCTGCTATCATTTTTTTTTTCTGATCCAGAACCCAAACCCCACTTTGGAGGTGCGGGAGAAAGTAGTCCCAGGAATGGAATTTCTTTTAGTGATGCGGCTTGGGTGCAGGTCAAGGGGTAGGAAAGAGATTTACTTGGTTTAAAATCTCACAGCCAGGGATTAACAGTGTGTTGGGAGGGCGGGTCAGGTGCTGAGGGTGAAGCCTTCCTGATAAGAGATGGCGGCCCTTGCAGGTCTGCTGGAGTGTCTCCTCTGGCCGGCTCGCAAGGATGAAGAGGCAGAGAAGGAAGAGGAAGCTGGCGCCCAAGGGCCTCAGTCTCTCCTGGCTGCGCCGCGATGCTCCCAGAGGCCACACGGGGGTGTGGCAGCATCGTCCGGCCTGCGCTTCGGAGCCAGCGCAGCGCAGGGTTGGCGAACGCATATGGAGGACGCGCACTGCGCTTGGCTCTCCTTACCTGGGCTGCCGCCTGGCTGGGCTTTCTTCGCTATCCTCGACGGCCACGGAGGGGCGCGAGTTGCCCGCTTCGGCGCGCGCCACCTGCCAGGCCACGTGCTCGAGGAGCTAGGCCCAGCGCCTAGCGAACCCGAGGGCGTGAGCCAGGCGCTGCGCCGAGCCTTCTTGAATGCCGACGAGCGACTCCGCTCGCTCTGGCCCCGTGGCGAACCCGGCGGCTCCACTGCGGTCGTGTTGCTGGTCTCCCCCGCGCTTTCTATACCTGGCGCACTGCGGTGACTCGCGCGCGGTGCTGAGCCGCGCCGGCGCCGTGGCCTTCAGCACCCAAGACCACCGGCCCCTCCGGCCGCGGGAACGCGAGCGCATCTACAACGGGGGCGGCACCATCCGTCGCCGTCGCGTCGAGGGCTCTCTGGCAGTGTCTCGAGCACTAGGCGATTTTGCTAACAAAGCGGCTCCGGGGAGGCCCCCCGAACTGCAGCTAATTTCCGCGGAGCCTGAAGTGGCTGCCCTGGCACGCCAGACTGAGGACGAATTCGTGCTCCTGGCCTCTGACAGCGTGTGGGACGTTACGTCTGGTGCTGCCCTGGTGGGACTGGTGGCATCGCGCCTCCGTTTGGACCTGGCCCCAGAGCTTCTCTGCGCGCAGCTGTTGGACACGTGTCTGTGCCAGGTCCTGGGGGCGGGGCATAGTATTACTGAGGCTTGGAACATGGGGGAGATCTGCAGCATTTGTGGGAGAAGGGATTTTAATAGACCAGGGGTTGGGGAACAACTAGAGGGCGTGTATGCTGGAATGCGCAGGGCCAAAATACGGAGAGGGGAGAGCCTGTGGTATGGTTTAAGATACAAAGGGAGCCCGGGATGGTGGCACAAACCTGTAATCCCGATGCTTAGGAAATTGAGGCAGAAGGATCACAAGTTCCAAGCCAGTCTCGGCAATTTATCCAGCCCTAAGCAACTAAGCCCTGTCTCTAAATAAAAAATAAAAAGGGTTGGGGATGTGGCTCAGTGGTTAGGCGCCTCTAATCCCCAGTACCAATACAACAAACAAACAACAAAAAACAAAGGGAGAGAAGTGCTAGACAGGTAAGTGGGAGGGAGTTAAGAATCACGTGGGGCTGGGGATGTGGCTCAACTGGTTGCATGCTCACCTAGCATGCCTGAGGCACAGGGTTCGATTCTAAGCACCACATAAAAATAAAATAAAGATATTGTGTCCACCTAAAACTAAAAAAAATGAATATTAAGAAAAAAAGATTGAAGAACTTCATATAAAAGGTGTGGTTCTCTTTTAGTAGGGTGGGGCTAGGACAGGGAGAGATTGGTGTAAGTGGGAGAAGGCTTGGTTTTGACTGGCAGATGGGTGAGGAGAGGCACAGGCATATCTAGACTGGGGAGGACTTCTAAAGACTTGAAACTCTGCACAGTAGCCTTCAACCCCATGCTACCGGTGTCCTTTTCTCCACTTTATCCAGGGCAGCCTGGACAACATGACCTGCATCGTGGTTTGCTTCCCAGGGGCTCCCAGGGCTTGTGAGGAGGCCATCAGGAGGGAGCATGCGCTGGATACAGCCCTGGGCTGCAGAGTAGCTGGTGAGCAGGCACCCAGCGCCCCATGGGAGGGGCATTGGCAAGCAGAGGCTCTCCATAACCCTTAGCTCTTCTCAGAGCTGTGTGTCTCTGCTCAGGAGCCCCCCAGTCTGAACACAGTTTTCAGGACTCTGGCCTCGGAGGACATCCTGGATTTGCCTCCTGGGGGAGGACTGCACTGCAAGTGAGTTGGGGTGGGGTGGGGTGGGGTGGGGGAGGGGTCATCAGAGGAGGATCTCCTGAGAGCCTCCCTCTGCTCTTCAGGGCTGCAGTCATTGCTGAAGCTTATTCTCAGCTCTTCCAGGCCTCAGAAGAATGTTGGGAGGTAAGGACCCTCTGGGTTGTTTATTTATATTATGCTGGGGCTTGAACCCAAGGCCTTCTGCATACTAGGCAAGCACTCTACCACTCTGCTACACCCCCAGCCTGTGTTCTTAAAGGTTTTTATTGGGGACACATAATCCAGGAACACATAAACTTCCTAGTGATGGGGAATTTGTGTGTGTGTGTGTGTGTGTGTGTGTCTGTCTGAGTGATGTTGCTGTTGTTTTGTTGGGGGAGGTACTAGGGTTTTTTGTTTTTTGGGTTTTTTTACCAAGAATTAAACCCAGAGGCACTTAACTACTGAGTCATATTCCTAGCCCTTTTTAAATATTTTATTTAAAGACAAGGTCTCCCTGAGTTGTTTAGGGCCTCACTAAGTTGCTGAGGCTGGCTTTGAACTCATGATCCCCCTGCCTCCACCTCCTGAGCCATTGGGATTATAAATGTGCACCACCATGCCTGGCTGGAACTAGGGATTTCACCCAGGGACACTTTACCAATGAGCTACATTCCTAGCCCTTTCTATTAATTTGGGACAGGGACTCTCTAAGTTGCTGCAGCTGGCTTTGAACTTGTGAACCTCCTGAGTCAGCCTCCCGAATCACTGGGATTATAGGTGTGCATCACTGCGCCCAGCGGTGATGGGCATTTTGAAGCCAGTGAGGGCAGGAACTTGCCTGATACATTAACACATGCTCACTCCTGGCCATGAAGGGGGGATAAATGGGGGATGCGCATGCAGAGAAGAGCTCTGATTCCCTGCCAAGAAATGTAGCTCCTGTGGTGCTTGTAAAGCCCCATCAACCTAAGCACCACCTTCTCCCTCCAGGAATAAGGCAGAAATTTCAGGGAATATTAATGGCCAATTTCATGGCTTAAATGCTCTTCAGACACCACCAAGTTATCTAAGGATGGCCCAGGTCTTGCCCAGATAGCTGAGAATTTGGAGACATGGGGATTGGACTAAGGCTTGGGGTGGGGATCAAGGGAGGAAATCTGAGGGGGGGATTGCCCCAAGGCATGGCAGAGAAGGGAGTTTGGTTATTATTATGAGAATGAGCAATGGTTGTTGATAATTTTTCAGCAGCAGGAGGAGGTATTTGCCAAGATTCTTTGAGTTGTGAGTGACAGAAACCCAATTCACCCTGGGAAAGCAAAGCGGGGAATTTATTGGGCCATGTAATTGAAGAGTTCAGGGGCTTCAGGCATGGCTGCTTTCAGTTGTCAGATGAAGTCATTAGGAACCATCTCTTCATTTTATTTTCTCAGAACTGGCTTCATTCCCATGCCGGGTCACCTCGTGAGGTAGCAGAGAGTGGCAGTTCCAGCTTAGATGCCACTGTCCTAACTGTCCCTAGTGGAGAGAACTTGCCAATTCCCCTATAGTTGTAGCTGGTCCCAAGACTAGTTCTCTTGTCCACACTGGGTCACAGCCTGACTAGTCATGGTGTCTCCGATTGGCAAGACTGGGGTCATGAGCTGAAGTTGGAGTTGGGGTCCACTCCACTTAAACCTGATGGATTGAGTTAGAGCACTTGCCCAGTTTGTGCAAGGCCCTGGGTTTGATCCCCAGTTTGGGGCTGGAGTGGGGTGGAGATGGGGGAGATGGTCCCTCACAAGAAAATAGGGTGGGTATTTCCAGAAGACAGTAAATGCTGAGAAGCAGCATGGCATTGATATTTACCTGCTCCCACACTTTGTGTTGCAGAAGGGGCAGGATGGGGCTGGGAAGCCCAGCAGTACCCATTTGAACTCTGCCTTGAACTTGGAGGCCTGATAGCAGTTGACCTTTGGGGACCCTCAGCTCAACTGGGACCCCATCAGAACTCAGAAAAAACTGCCCCTTCCCCAGCTATGTGAACCAGCGGAAGGAAGCAAGCTGATGGAGGAACCCCAGAATACTTATTTCCCCTTCTCCTACTTCTCCCTCACAGAAGAGACTGACTTATGAGGGGAAATTCCACCACCTTCTAGACCAAAAATAACCCAAAACCAAATGTTTGAAATACTTAGAGCTGAACAGATCCTGAGAGATCACCAGGTTCAATGACCTTCTTTTTCCATCCTATTTTCCATCTGTTTTTGAGGGGAGATGGATAAAGTTTCAATCACTAAATTTTAATTACATTAGTAATTCCAAATCATTTTCATATTTAAAAAATTATTTGCCTATCAGCAAATATGTAGTGGACACCTGCTGTGTTCCAGGACATGTTCACAGTTATGAACCAGGCCAGTCACCAAGACCCTTGCTCTCATGAAGCTCACCTCCAAACCTGGGGAGACAGAAAACAAGGGAACCAATAGATAAGGTCATCTCAGACACCGACAAGTGTCATAGGGAAAATAAAACAAGACATGATAAGAAAATGATGAGGGGAGCCATTTTGATTTTTAAATTTTATTTATTTTTGGTACTGGGGACTGAACTTAGGAGTGCTTTATCACTGAACTACATCCTCAGTCTTTATTATTATTATTATTATTATTATTATTATTATTATTTTGAAAGAGGGTCTCCCTAAATTGCTGAGGCTGGCCTCAGACTTGCAGTCTCCCAGCATCAGCCTGCCCAGTCACTGGGGTTACAGGTGTGTGCCAGCTTGGTCAGCCTTTATTTTACTTTTTAAATTTTAATTTAATTCATTTAGATTGGAGGAGGTACCAGGGACAGAACCCAAGGGTACTTAGCCACTGAGCCACATCCCCAGGCTTTTTATTTTTTTTGAGACAGGGTCTTGCTAAGTTGCTTAGGGCTTCGCTCAGTTGCTGAAGCTGGCTTTGAACTTACAATCCTCCTACCTCAGGCTCCTGAGCTGCTGGGATATGGGTGTGCACTGCCATGCCTGGCCAATTATTTTAGTTTTGAATAGGTAATAAATTCACCTAGTTTCAAGTTCAAAGGTGAAGTGAAAAGGCTTTCTCCATCCCCTCATCCTTCAGCCATTCAATTTTCCAGCTGGGGTAGCTGCTTCAATAGGGGCAGGTAAAGTCTCTGAGAAGGGGACAGCTGAGCAGAGACTTGACACAGGAACCAGCCATGTGAAGAAGAGTGTCCCACAGCAGAGGGAACAGCCAGTGTGAAGGCCTAGGAGCAGGGCTAAATTGGCATTTTCTAGATGAGGTTTCAGGCCTCTGTGACCATAGGACTCTTTACAGTGTCACCCTCCATCCCATCAGTAACCATTGTAATGAGTTTGGAGTAAATTTTTCAGGACCCTTTACCCTGCAGGTACAAATATGTATATGTCACCTTAGGTGTTCTTGATTTTCCCTACCCTATATGTCATTCAGCAACTCACTCAATTCACTCAGTGACATTAAGATTTCATCAAGGGGCTGGGGATGTGGCTCAAGCGGTAGCGCGCTCGCCTGGCATGCGTGCGGCCCGGGTTCGATCCTCAGCACCACATACAGACAAAGATGTTGTGTCCGCCAAATACTAAAAAATAAATATTAAAAAAAAAAAAAAAAAAAAAAAAGATTTCATCAAGTCCTTTACACGACTCATTCTTTTAAGCTGCTGCCTAGCACCTCAAACAAGAGACATGGGAGGGTTTCATTATCCTGTCTTCTCAACGGTCATTTATTCTGCTTCTAATTTCTTCCTCTCACATCACTGACATGTCGACATAAGATTCTCTATCAGACTCCTCATGTACACATCCAGGAGTTCTCTAGTGCAGGGGTCTTGCTATCTGTTTGGCACAGCATTAGAGCTAAGAATGCTTTTTACGTTTTTAAAAGAAGGGAAATTCCAAAGTTTATTTTGTAAAAAAAAAAAAAAGAAGAGAGAAGATATTGGGGATGGGTTGTAATCCAACACTTGCCTAGCATTTAAGAAGCCCCTCTTTCTGTCCCCAGCACCATAAAAAAAAAAAAAAGGAAAAAAATATGTGAACCAGACCTTTGTCTAATATGCCTCAAGTGTTTACTATTTGAACTTTTATAGAGAAAGTGCTGATTCCTATTATAGTGCAGATGGCACTTGGAAGTAGCAGCCCTCCCATTGCATAGATGTGAAAGCTGAGACCCAGAGGAGAAAGGACTTGGCCAAGGCCACACAGAACAGGGGTTCTCATTCAGTTGGATAAATGTTGAGCTGCTATTCTGGGCCTGGCTGGATTGGGTGAGCCCCAAAACGGATCAAGCCTGCGCTTGCAGCCAGAGAACTCAGACTAGAGGAAATACAATCATAACCTAGGGGTACAGGGTCAAGGTCTCCCAGAGTTCGGCAGGGAAGGGAGAGGGCTAGGGGTTCTGTGGAGAAGAATTAATAATAGAGCTTGACCTAGAAAGATGAAGTGTTCCCCAAGGGAAAGGAGGCAGGAGAGCGTCCAGAAAAAGGAGTGCACTTCTTCAACTGGGCCCAGAGAATTGGTTTTAATCCATACCTTGGCTTTCGGGGTTCCGGGGACTCAAGCAAGAGGCCCATGGGCCAGATTCATTCTGTGTCTCCACGTCTCAGTTTACCGATTTGTAAAAGGGGAAGCAGTGGTTCTCCAGGGCTAGAGCACCTCATCCAGCCCAAGTGGCGCTCTACTGGAGGGGCGTGGCCTCCCGTGGCGTCATTCGGGGCGGGGCCTGCTGCGGAAGCCCTGGAGGGAGTATGGGCTCGCGCCAGGGCTGCGCCGAGAGGAGGGGGCTCCCGGGAGTCGGCCCCTAGGAGGGTTTCTTCGCCCCGGTGCCCATCCGGTCGCTGGGATGATCCTGCTTGTCCTCCGTGGGCGAAACTAAGTCATAACGGGGCGTGTGGCGAGGGGGTCTTTCTCCACACGGAACCTAGCGTCCCATCCCGAACCCGGGCCAGCGCAGCACCCCCATCCTCCGCACTCCCCGCGGATCCCCACCTTTACCCCCGCCCCCACCCCACCCCCCGACCCTGCGGCGGTGAGTCAGCGGCCGGCCGCGCCCCCTCGGCCCACTTCCTCTCACCTTCCCTGGGCGGGCGGGGGGCAATGAGGCGGGGGCCTTGCCAGCCGTCACCCTCCTGGGCGGGCGAGGGGCCTCATCCCTTAGTCACCCCTCAGAAACTGACTGAGAAGCTTGGAGGGGCAGGGGACGTCCAAAAGTGGGCTCTAAGGGAGAAAATTTAACAGAGCCCTTCCCTAACCGGAGGATCTTCCTTGCCTCCGAAAATTGAGCTTAACATTAAGAAATGAAGAAGTCGCGGGTGAGAGTGGGACGGGAGAAACTGGCTCCGCCGAGATTCCCCCCAGAAGTCCCAGTGAGAGGACTCGAAGTCAAGGAAGGCTCCCTTCTCCCCCACCAAGCTTGTCCCCCAACTTGGGCAAAAGGCCGGGGAGCAAACCCTGTGCAATAACGATGGGGAAAGGGAAATTGCGGAAGTCGAGGGTTCCGCGTTGCCCTTTTAAGCGCCTTCCATCCCCCGCCTAGTGGTTTCCGCGGCCCCTTTAAGGCGCAGGGAATTGTGGGTGCGGGGAGTGGAATTTTGGAACGAAATGTAGCGAAGAGAAGTACAGTAGTAAGAGTAACGTTGTAGCCGCCGCCGGCCGAGGGGGCGCGCCGGGAGGCAGCGCCGCACCCCCTTTCCGTCGCTGGGACCCCCCCATCAAACTATCGGCGGGAAGAGGAGCCCGAGAATCCGCCCCGGCCCGATCCACGTTCCCCCAGGAAGCCGGACTCTATGGGGCGGGACCCTGGGGGCGACTGAGCAGAACCTGGAGCCAGCCCGAACCCCTGAAGCTCGCGCCAGGGGCGCCCCGGGAGCAGCCAGCCCGTGGGCGCGCCGCCCGCCCGCCAAGCAACCATGAGGTGAGCCCGGAACTGCCTCGGGACCCTTCCCCGCCGCACAGCCTCCCCGCCCCGCCTTTGTCCCCCTCCCCCAGTCGCCCCGCTGGAATTTGGGGACAGGGCTTTGGAAGCCTCAGCTTTGGGCCAAGACCCCTTAGACGGACTATCATTATCAACCACCTTTCCGTGACTCCTAAGGCTCAGGGCGGTGCCGATGAGGTCCTTCTGAGAGTCCTCAGATTTGGGGGAGCCCCGAGGACACCCTAATTTTCAAGACTTTTTCCAGAGCACCTCCAAGTTGGCAGATCCTGCTCGCAGGGATGCTAGAATTTAAACTGAGGTCAAATCTTCCCGAATCCTCAAATTGAGATCTGGAGGGATTGTGGGGGGTCGGGTTGGGAGACCCTGGGACCTAGAAAGACAACCGAGAAGCAGGGTTGTTGGATTTGCAGACCCAGGATTTGCAGGGTCCCCGCTTTTGAAGCGCTGGAAAGTCTCCCCGAGTGGGACCGCGCTCCTTAACTTCGGGGCTACTTCTCGATCCCCTAAATTTGGGGGACTCCTAAATCTTCCTGTTGGAGGGTGATTGTGGACTGACCCATAACCCACGGACCAGGCGCAGCCCCGAGGGTCTGGTTGGGACTCCCCTCCCCCGTCGCTCCTCATCCATGATCTGCCTCAAACCGGCCGTGCCTAGGACCGAGCGAGCGCTCCTCGCCGAGGGCGGCTCCCCGGCCCGGGGCCAGAAGGGCGGCCCTCACCCCCACCTGCGGGCCCTGGGGAGAGAGGGGGCGCGGCAGCTGGGGGAGGGGGGGCCTTTGTCTTCCTGACTCACCTGTCGAGACAGCTGGTGTGGCGGGCGGGCCGGAGCGCTGGGGGCCAGCCACTTTGGGCACCACAGCCCCTCCCCCTGGGCTCACTGCCCCCCGCCAGCCTTCCGAGCCTTGGGATTGGAGGAGGGGGCGCTAGGAGGCTTCAAGGTCACAGCCTTCTCCCCCAGGGACCCAGGCTTAGCAGATAGTTCCAGCTCTCTTCCCAGTAATATAATCCTGGGGTGAGGGGCCCCAAGGCACTTTGGATTTTGTATTACCCGGGCCTCCCCCAAACTCCTGGGCTCACCTGAGGGCGGGGCCAGTGCTGACCTCGGGGCCCCTCTTCTTCCCTCCCATGACCCCCCATAATCTCTCCCTTGGGGCCAGAGTCTGACAATACTATCTCCCTTCCTCCACTCTCTCTGGGACTTCCTGCACCAAAGCCCCCCGGCCTGAGGGGGAGGCCCCTGGGGACAGCTGAGATTAACCCCCTGATGCCCACATCCTCCACTTCCTCCTTATTCCCCACACCCCTGCCCTCTGACATCAGGGTGACATTCCTTTTTAGAATCCTTACAGAACCCCCCCTGCTGTGGGGCGGGGGATTCTGTAGTGAAAGGAATTGTTGGAAGATCTGGAGCCAGGCGACACCCTCAGACACCCTCCACCTCCCTGCATAGCCTTTCCCCAGTGGAGCAACATCCCGAGGGGGGCAGTTTGCAGGAGATAGGCCCTCTTCCTTCACTCTCTCCCGGGGGACTCTTCTCTCCCACCGCCCCCAGCCCCGCCCGTTTCCGGTCCCAGGCACGGTGGAAGGCGGATGGCGGATGTCCGAGTTAGTGCTGCCTCACTCACTGCGAGACCGTAAAAGGGCAGGAGCAGTGTCTGGGCCGGCCTCCTGCCCTCCCCCCAGCCCGGAGGCCCTGGCCCTCCACAGGGCCCCCTCTCCCTTGGCGGAGGAGGCCGAACCTCCCGACTCCGCGGGGTGTGCAGAAGTTGAGGGTGCTTGTCCCACCAATGTTCCTCCCACCTTCTAAGGGGTCTCCCTTGCCAGTGGTCACACAGAACTTCCTGGGCAGTGCTTCTTCTCCAAGGACAGCTAGGATTCAAAATGACCCATGCCCCTATTCCCAGGTGGGGAAACTGAGGCTCAAAATGAGAGAGGCCTGGCGCAGATTCTCAGGAATTCTTAGGCAGTTTTCAGCGAGGGGAGGAGGCTGGAATGGGCTGATTTCTGGATGGTTTGACTGGGGACAGTCCTGGGGCAGTTGGAAGAGAGGATGTTAAGATGGAAAATTACAAGATATACTTCTTTTTCTCACATTTGACAAATATTTGTTGAGTGTCTGCATCCGGGATCTGGGCTTCTGGGAGAGCAGGGAACCCCAGCAGAAGGGACTTAGGAAGAATTTGGTTTCTTTCTTTCCTCTTACAATAATAGAAGTTATTGTTCTTGTTTTATTTTTTTTTTAAAGTGATGAGATCATGTAGTCAGACCTCTACTTCATGATAGGCACTGTACTCAGCATCTGATTCAGTTTAGCCCTCATGATGATTTTAAGATCAAGACAGTGACAGCCTTGTGCCCTGTCTCAACCTTCAGTTTACAAGATGGGGAAAATTGAGACACAGAGTAGTTAAGCAAATTGCCAATTAAAGTCAGATAGTTGGAGAGTGGCCAATATTGAGCTTGAACCCAGGACTGTCTGTATTGTGCTATGAAAGAAAAAGGAAGCTAGGTACAGTGGAGCAGGCCCACAGTCCCTGCCACACAGGAGGATGAGATAGGAGGACCGCAAGTTCAAGGCCAGCCTCAGCAACTTAGCAAGTCCCTGTCTCAAAATAAAAATGCAAAAGGATTGGGGATGTAGCCCTGGCCAAGTGCTCCTGGGTTCAGAGCCCAGTACTGAAGAAAAAAAGAGAGGGAAATAAAACCTGTAGTTTTTTAAAAATTATAAAATAACATGCTTTTACTGTAAAAACAAAGCAAAGTGCACACATGAACTTAAGATCATTCAGGTAATCAAAAAGAAATCCACACAGAAACTTTACCCTCCTGTTCAGTTGGGAAACTGAGGCCTACTAGGAAGGAGGGACCAGAGAAACCACACAAACTCCCAGAGCCTACACTGGGTTCCTCACCCGGGGTTGCTTCAAAGAGAGCTCGGAGTTGGGGAAGGCTGTGTGTGTGCACCACGAGTTTTGTGGGGTGAGCGCTGGAGAGGGGAGCAGTGAAGGGAAGGGAAAGAGTTGCATCTGGAAGGTGGATGCGCTGTATTACCTCCAGCAGGGGAAGCCTCCTCCCTCCTGTTAGGACTCTCAGCTCAAAATACAAATGCGTGCCACTTTCCAGGTCCTAGTTCAGGGCTTGGTGTCATCTCTTTTTATCCTTACAGCCATCCCAGGGCTGGAAACTGAGGGGCACAGAAGTGAAGCCACACAACAAGGAGGTGACTTTCTTGGAGGCCTGGGGCCTCTGCTGGGGGATTATGGAGTTTTCATGTTCAGGGCAGGGTGTGACCCCAGCACCCAGGAACTGTCTCACCCCTACAATCCACTTTCTGACTGTGGGGTTTTCCACTCCAGCTTTTGCCTAGTTTATAGGTTTTTTTTTTTGTGTGTGTGTGTGTGTGTGTTTTAACTTATGAATTAGGGTTTTACAGGTAATTCCAGTTCATAATAAGTGAAAATAAAGAAAAAGAACTATAAGGGTAAAAGGTGTGAAATATCTGCTTCTCCCTCACTGACTCATAGTTCGTCTCTTGAGAAGCCTCTGCATATATCACTGTGTGTGGATATATTTATATCCTCCCCACCTTTTATTTTTTTTCTGAAACCTCTGATCCACTCTACTTTGTACATTGCTTTTTAAAAACTTCATCCTAGTTATTTTCTCATCTTTAAATGAAGAACTTAGGTGGATTTGGGTTCAAATGAGCCCTTCTACTTACTTGCTGTGTGACCTGCATCAAATGTCTTCACCTCTCTGTGCCTGCAGAGTCTACTTCTTGTGGTTGTATAACTGGGCCAGCTAGAAATTGGGTCCCAGTGCCTGGAATGGTGTCTGGGACACAAGCTAGCTGATAAATGTCAGCTGTCATTATTAGGAGTTGGCCTTTTTTACAGATGTGTTTATTTAACAACTCTTGAGTCCTTGCTAAGTGCTAGGTACTATTCTGGGGACGCAGCAGTGAACAGAAGGGACAACCCCCCTGGCCTTTGTAGACCTGACATTTGGAGAGGACAGGATAGATTTTCGGGCAGATGCTGCTATGAAAAGTGCTGGAGGGGAGGAGAGGGGAGAGCTTCTCCAGACCAGGAAGTTAGGGAGGGCTTTTCGCAAGAGGTGACAGCTAGGAGGTGAGAGTGCAGGCCAGGCCCAGGCCTTGGATTTCCGGGCACCCTGAAGGAACAGTGTGGAAGCCGGGCTGGGGGGGGGCAAGGCAGATCCCTTAGGCCCCAAAGAGCTCCCAGGACAGGGACACTATCCGCCTTGGATTTTAACAGGATCCTTCAGCTGCGGTTCATTAAGAACCTGGGGGAGGGCAGGACCAGCCCAGGGTCACCCTGCAGGTGCCTAGCTCTCTGGCCAGGCCAGAGCCTTAGCAGGGCAGGGCCACCTGGGAGGGCAAAGTGCAGCCAGGGTGGGGCAGCGACAGCTCTCCAGCTCTTGGGCACCTGGCCAGAGTGTTCTGGGTGTGGGTGGCAGGTGTGGGCAAGACCTTAACCCTGCCCTGCCAGAGGCACCAGAGCCAGAAACAGCCCCCCGAGGCTGTGCTTGTCCAAATGACACCCGGTGCTTGGTAGGGCCCAGGCTTCCCTGTGGTTAAGGCTGTGGACTTGGGAGCCAGGTGGCCTGGATTGAATCCTCACTCTGGGGCTGGGCTGTGGCTGGGGGGTGGAGCCCTTGCCTGGCGGGTCAGGCCCTGGTTTCCATCCCCAGTACTGGAGGAAAAAAGGTTTCATTTCTCTGCTGCTTCCTAGCTATGTGGCTGTGTCACTAGTGGCCCAGTCACTCAGCCTCTCTGGGCCCCTGATCAGCAGTCTTATCTGCAAGGTGAGGATGAAATAGTGTCCTCAGAGGGACTGCAGTGGGGACAAACCAGTGGCTCTGGGGAAGAGCTCAGGGCTCTGACCCAGCGGAAGGATCCGAGGGGAGGAGATGCCAGTTATGTACAGTGGGGACATGGGCTCAGTCCCCAGGGCCTATAGAGGGTTTCCCTAGACCAGCTTGCTCAGCTTCAGTGTCAGGCCCCAGCCCGCCCCCCCCCCATTTGTGGGCGTAATTTCTCTCCCCGGAAACCTCTGACCACCAACTTCTTCTTTTCAGGAAAGAAACGGGTGGGTGTGGGGTAGGGTAGAGATCAGTGCTTCCCCCCCCACTTCCCCTGTCTGTGTGTGACCTTGGCCAAGTCACTTCCCGTCTGGGAGTCTGAGTTTCCTCACTGGATTGAGCCTCCCAGTCCGCGGGCTAGAGGGGTACAGCTGTATAGGGCACTAGCGGGCCTGCCCAGGGTGCCCGCGACATGGTGCTGACAGTCGCCAGGTGCTCAAGTGTCTAGACTCCTTACTCGCACCCACCACCTCGGGAGGAGGCCACCTGCATTTCTCCAGTTGGTGGGCAGAGAAGAGCAGACTGTTAGTTCCCTACCATCCCTTGCTGTGATCACGTGGTGGAAAGGGTTCATCAGAGCTTTTTTTTTTTTCTTTCCTGTGGTGCTGGGGATTGAACCAGGGCCTGGTGCACAGGAGGCGAGCCCTGAGCTATAGCCAGCCCTCAGCAGAGCTTTGAACCCAGGCCTGGGAAGTCAGGTCTGGGCTCAGACAGATCCCTCCACTAAGACCAAGCCAGCTGTTCCACACTCTGGGAGCCCTGCCTGACCCAAGGGGCTCCTTCTGAGTGCTCCAGACCTGGGCTGGGACCCTGAGTTGTCACTGTCTGGGATGTCTGTCTCTGAACTGGACTGTGAGCCCTGGGAGGGTGGCGCCAGGGTTGTCTGTCTGGGCCACTGCTGTGTAGCTATCCCGAGCCCCACCCAGTGAGGGCCTGACCCAAATCAGGAAGTGTCTGCCCTGGGGCCATTCAAGAGGCAATTGATGCCCTGGGGAGCTGGTGAGAGCGAGGTGACCTGGGGGAAGAGGGGCCTAGCTCTCAGCAGCCCTCACCCTTCCCCTCTTTGAGCCTCTGCTTCCTCCTCTGACCTGAGAGGCAGGGAGGGGTCCCTGCAGGCTGATGGAGACCGGGGAAGGGCCACAGCCTCTGGTGCTCACCTGCGTCTCCCTCCCTCTTCTCTGATCTCTGTCTCTGTCTGCCTGCCTCTGTCTTTATCTCTGTCTCTGCCTGGTCACCTCCTTTCCCACCACGCCCTATCTGCCTGTCACAGGTGTTACCAGCCTGACTCTGCCTTCCTCACCTCCCATCTGTCCCCTCTTCCTGTTTCTTTGTCCCCTCTGTCCCTTGCCCCATCTGTCCCAGCCCCTCACTTGTCTTCCCCTCTCTGATCTGCCCTCTCTGTCCCTGGCCTCTTATCCTCCTGGAGGATGCCTCGCCCCCTCTCTTGTTCTTCCTCTTGCTCTTTTTCCCTTCGGATCTTCTGGGGAGACCCAGGTGAAGAAGGTGACCACTCCCTCTCCCTTTTTGTCCACCTCTGGCAGCGAGACCGTTATCTGTTCGAGCCGGGCGACGGTGATGCTCTATGATGATGGCAACAAGCGGTGGCTGCCTGCCGGCACGGGTCCCCAGACCTTCAGCCGTGTGCAGATCTACCACAACCCCACGGCCAATTCCTTCCGGGTTGTCGGACGCAAGATGCAGCCTGACCAGCAGGTGTGGCGCCCTCGTCCCTCTCTCTGTGGGCTGAGCCCCTCCTGAGCCCACCGCCCCTCACCTCCTTTCCCCTCCTGCCAGGTGGTCATCAACTGTGCCATCGTCCGGGGTGTGAAGTATAATCAGGCCACCCCCAACTTCCATCAGTGGCGGGATGCCCGCCAGGTCTGGGGCCTCAACTTCGGCAGCAAGGAGGACGCAGCGCAGTTTGCTGCCGGCATGGCCAGCGCCCTGGAGGCCTTGGAAGGTCAGCGGGGGCAGCGGGGGCAGTGGGACCTGCGACCAGTGGGTGGGCCCGAGGCTGCTGCCCTACCATCTGGGCCTTATTGGTTGGTCTGGTGCAAACGTATGGGGAGGATCTGGTGGGCTCCTGAGTGTACCTTCTTCAGGGGTGTCTAGATTTCCACCCTCCAGCCTTTTCCCCAGGTGACCCTGCTGCTTTATGTCGTCTAGTAGTTTTGGGGCATTGATATTTTAAAAGTCTCCAGATGGGGGTTGAGGAGGAGCTGGTAGTGGAGTGCTGGCTTGGCCTGTAGCAGGCCCTGGTTCCAGCCCTGCAGAAACAAAACCAAAGCAGTCTCCAGTCGGTATTTCTTAAACTTTCGTGCACATCTGAGTTGCCTGGGGATCTGGGTCAAGTGCAGGCTCGGTGCAGGGGCTGGGCCAGCCCAAGTTCCTGGTCCCCAGATGAGGCTTGAAGCGGCCAGGCTTCGGGTGGCTGCTGGGCACCCGTGGTCTGGAGCTGCTGCTGCAGGGCTGGAAATCCCCCGTAGCAGAGGGGTTGCCTCGTGGGGCAACTGCAGTGCTAGAGCCGAAGGGCCTGCTCGTCTGGGGGCGCACAGACAAACGCAGTAGCAGTGTATGCGTGAGGGGGTCAGAGCCCCGGGGCAGATGAGGAGGAAGTCCTCAGTCTTTCCAGGTCCCGGCAGGCTCCATGTGGCCCTGGCTGTGGTCAAGAGTCCAGATGCTCAGGTCATCTGGAATTCAAGCTTGTTCCTGCAGATTCCAAACTACACAGCTTTGGGGCTGTTGACCCCCTTGGGCCGCAGCTTCCCTGTCTGTCTCTTGGGTATCCCAACATCATCTGTCTCAGGGCAGCTCTGCCAAGGGAAGCTGGAACCACACCTGGGCCCCAATTGTCAGGGTCTCAAAGCAAGGAGGAAGTGTGCAACTCTGGCAGGACTGCTGAGTGACCCAAGGGACAGCACTAGGGCCGGGGCAGATCCCTGCAGACTCCCAGGGTGGACTCATGACCCTTTCTACTCTTATCTTTCAGGAGGTGGGCCTCCTGCACCCCCAGCACCGCCGGCCTGGTCCATCCAGAACGGCCCCTCCCCGGAGGAGGTGGAGCAGCAGAAAAGGTGGGCTGGTCTCTGGGTGGGGAACCTTTCTTCTGCTGGAGAACCCATGACCTCTCCAACTCTCAGTTTCCAGAAAGTCCCAACTCCCAAGGGACTAGAAGTAAACAGCTTTCAGACACCCCATCTCCTGGGGTTCAGGAAACTCTTCACAGCCAGGTGTGCTAGTGCACACCTGTAATCCCAGCAATAGGAAGGCTGAGGCAGGAGGATCCCAAGTTCCAGGCCAGCCTCAGCAACTTAGTGAGATCTTATCTCAAAATTAATTTTTTTTAAAAAAGGGCTGAGGATATGGCTCCATGAACCCAGAGCCCCTGGGTTCAATCCTTGGTACAGAAACAAACAAAAAACATACAAAGGTCAGGGACTGTGTCTCCAGGTAGAGTGGTGTGATCCTAGAACTATAAAATAAAATGGACAGAAAACTCACACTCAGCTTGTAAAGCTTCTAGGCCCCCTGCTTCTGATTCCGAGGACCAGGATCTCGTTAAAGGGCATTCTACGATTTGGGTGCACGTGGCAGTTTAATGGCTAGAACTCACATCCTGGTCTCGCCGTCTCTCCTGCCCCCCATTCTCTACCCTACCTTTCTTGGGCCCCTGGGGAAGGAAGGCTTGGGTGGGAATTAGGAGCACCCTCACCAGAGCCAGAGGTCAGTGGCCACACAAGTGATGGTGATGGGCCTTGACTGACGCTGGCCCTGTCACCCTCACCACAGGCAGCAGCCCAGCCAGCCTGAGTATATGGAGCGGGAACGCCGGGTCTCCAACGCAGGTGACTACAAGGGGCTGTGGGAGTTGGGGTCCCCCCTGGAGAAAGGGGCAGGCTGGCTGGACAATGATGAAGCTCCTCTCAGTGGCTCCTTTTCTGTTTTCTTTCAGGAGGCCCACCTGTTCCCCCCATGGGGGGACCACCCCCACCTCCAGGACCTCCCCCTCCTCCGGGCCCTCCCCCACCCCCAGGCCTGCCCCCTTCAGGGGTCTCGGCTGCAGGACATGGTGCAGGGGGAGGCCCTCCCCCTGCACCCCCTCTCCCTGCAGCACAAGGCCCCAGTGGTGGGGGAGCTGGAGCCCCTGGCCTGGCTGCAGCCATTGCCGGAGCCAAACTCAGGAAAGTCAGCAAGGTGACGGCAGCAGGCAGGGTGGGGCGGCCAGGACGCTGCTGGACATGATGGGAGGAGGCCGAGTCCCCGGAGGCCCGTCCTTCAAGACCTCTGTCCTTCCTGATTTCTCCAGCAGGAGGAGGCCTCAGGAGGGCCCTTGGCCGCCAAAGCTGAGAGCACCCGAAGCACAGGTGGGGGGCTCATGGAGGAGATGAATGCCATGCTGGCCCGGAGGTGAGCCCAAGCCCCGGCCTGAGTCCCCTCAAGACTGCAGTTTGGGGCGAGGCGGGTGGCTCTGATCCCTGTTTTGTTTCTTTGGGTGAAAGTTGCCCCTTGACCTCCATCCAGGTTTGGGTTTAATACTGGAGACTTAGTCTCCTGAGGTGGCTGATGACCTGGTAGAATGTTCTAAAGCCTAGATTCGAGAACCTCAGGAAACCCCCTCAGCATCTAGGAGAGAGTCCCTGCCTTTAGAATTTTATGATTTCCTAAATGTGAGGACCAGAGAGCTCACCACCCCAATTCTAGAAGAGCAATATTTTTTAAACACTTTTTTTTTTAGTTGTAGATGGACACAATATCTTTGTTTTTATTTATTTGTTTTTTTATGTGGTGCTGAGGATTGAACCCAGTGCCTCACGCATGCGAGGCAAGCACTCAACCACTGAGCGACAGCCCCAGCCCTAGAAGAACAATACTTTTAACTTCTAAAACTAGAGTTTCCTTAGCCTTCATGAATCCAGAATGCTAAATCCAGGAGCCCACATTTCTAGACCAACAGGAAGCAGGGTTGTTGGGTGGCTGAGGTAGGACTGAAGCATCTGTCCTGCTTTTCCCTTCTGCAGAAGGAAAGCCACACAGGTTGGGGAGAAACCCCCCAAGGAAGAATCTGCCAGTGTGAGTGAGGGTCTCTTCTTGCCCTGTACACCTTAGGATGCCCCAAGAGGGTAGGGGCATTGGGGAGGGGGTGTCTTAGGGCTGGGCTGGCCTTGGACCTGGAAGAGGAAATGAGCAGAGGTGTGACAGGGGCTGCCTCGTGATATTTTTATTTCCTACCAGCAGGAGGAGCCAGAGGCCAGAGTCCCAGCCCAGAGTGGTGAGTGAAACTCTTGTCTAGCCACAGAAACTACAAGTCCCAGGATGCCCTGTTCTCACAAAGCACCCTCTTGGAAAGTCTGGGAATAAGTCTGGGGATTGTAGTCTCCTAAAATGCTTCTTCGGGCTGTTGAGGCTGAGGGGAAAAGATTGGGGGCAGTCCTTGTCCCTGATCTGATTTGTTCCCTGATCCCCAGAACCTGTGCGGAGACCCTGGGAGAAGAACAGCACAACCTTGCCAAGGTGGGCCATCAGCGTTGGGGCTGCACCCCCTAAATAGTTGAACTTGCCCAGTTTATAGGGAGGAACACAATGTAACCCCTGGAATGGGAGGCAAGGGAGACAGATCCTCCTTTGAGCCTCTTATCTGTCCCAAACCACACCAACTTTTCCAGGATGAAGTCCTCATCTTCCATCACTGCTTCTGAGGCCCAGGCTTCTACGCACAGCTCTGGGGAAGAGTCAGACCTGGAGAAGGTGAAGCAGGTAACTTGGGATGGAGGATGGGGTGGAGGCTGGAAACTAGACAGGGGCCAGAGGAAAGGAGATCTACGTCCAGAGCCTGCTACTGATGTGCATGTGATTCTAGAGAAGACCTTGGAAACTCCAGGCTGAGAAGTGGAGGGACTGGATTGGGTCAGGGGTGTCACAGACATCATACCCCATTCCTAGTGCCTGTGACAGACCTTAGGAAATCTATCAGCACACATCCCTGCTGAGTCCTTCTGAGCCCAGAGACTCCAGCCATCTATCAATCCAAATTGGCAGGACAGAGAAATGCATTTGCCAGGCCTGGTACTGGATGTTCTCCAGTACTTTTCTTTTGGCTCCAAGGATCTAGAATTCTCTTATAGAATATCCCAGTCATTCCATAACCTTGGCAGCCATGTCAGGAAGTGGGGGTAGGTCTCTACCTGTTTCCTCTGGCTCTTCAGCCAGTTGGAAAGTAGGTAGGGGTCCTGGAGTGTAGCTCAGTAGTAGAGTACTAACCTAGTACACAGGGCCCTGAGTCCCATCCTCAGCAGTGCAAATAAATAAATAAGAAAAGGGGAAATTGGCTGAGTGCAAGCCTATGATCTTAGCTGCTCAGGATGCTGAGGCAGGAGAATCACAAGTTCAAGGCTAGCCTGGGTAATTTAATGAGACCCTGTCTCAAAAAGGGCTGGGGCCAGGCCTGGTGGTGCATGCCTGTAATCCCAGCAACTCTGGAGGCTGAGGCAGGAGGATTGCAAGTTCAAAGCCAGCCCCGGCAACTTAATGAGGCCCTAAGCAACCCAGTGAGACCCTGTCTCTAAATAAAATATTAAAAAGGGCTGGGGATGTGGCTCAGTGTTTAAACACCCTTGGGTTCAATCCCTGGTACAAAAGAAAAAAAAAATAAAAGTGGCAGGGACAGTCATTTGGTGGTAGTGTGTTCCTAGGTTAGTGTAACAAAGAAAGGAGGGGATTTGTTTGTTCCAGGACCCTCTCTTGAATGGTTATGCCCCATTATTTTCAGGAGCTTCTGGAAGAGGTGAGGAAGGAATTACAGAAGGTCAAAGAGGAGATAATTGAAGGTGAGGTGTTTGAACTTTAACTTACCCTGCAGCAGTGGAGATGTGTCCTGATGTGTCCCTTGGAGATAGTCTTGACTTGGCAGGGAGGAGAGAAGAGACTGGCTTTGACCCTGCCTCTTGTTTCCTTCCAGCTTTTGTCCAGGAGCTAAGGAAACGGGGTTCCCCCTGACCACAGGGACCCAAATGACCTGTTTCTCTTTCTGCACACCCGGCCTGTCACCCTGCTTTCCCTGCCTCTACTTGACATGGAATTGGCTGAAGATTACACAGGAATGCATCTTCCCCCTCCGGATCCCACTTGGAAAATTCCAAGGGGGTGTGGCTTCCCTGGCACCGTGCCCACACCCTTACTGGCTGCTGATTGATGAGCTGGGGAGGCCCCCACCCTTTGCTCCCTTTGGTCCTTCCCCTCTGCCATCCCCTTGGGGCTGGTTCCTCTGTTGGGGATGTACCAATTAACCCCACAGTAAGGGGGAAGGAAGGAGGGAATTTCACATTCCCTTGTTCTAGATTCACTTTAATGCTTAATGCCTTCGAATCATTTTGTTGTTTTTTTTTTTAAAGGAAAAAAATATATTATATATATATTTGGGTTTGGGAGGAAAGGGAAATTTTTTTTTCCTTTTTGGTTTTGATAAAACGGGGTGTGGGAGTTTTTAAATGCTATAGCCCCAGGCTAGCCCATTTGGGGCAGCTATTTTAGGGTGGGTGTCTCACCAGACTGGGGTGCTCCCCCACCCCGGGACCCCCCCTTCCCTCGAGCTCCTTCCCTTTTCTATGAGGAATTAAGATGCTGTAACTTTTTGAAACCTCAGTTTTTGGTTTTTTTATTTGGATAGGTTTTGGGGTCCAGACCATTTTTACCCCCTGGGGAATAAGGGAGGGAGAAGGGAGGAACCTCCCCCTTTACCTCCAGCTTCTTGAGAATGGGCCCTTGTGGAATAAATCTGCAGTTTTTATAAGTGTGAAGACTCTGGAGAGACGGGAGGGGTTCTGGTGACCTTGGTGAATGAGATGCTGCCTCACCCCAGCCCTGTCCCTTCTCACCTCTACCTGTGCCTCTTAGGCTGCCCCAACTGCTTGGCCATCCTGGAGAAGGCCAGGGATCGGCCTCACTGACTGGCCCTGCACAGTCGGGGGCCTACTCAGAGCCTCTGATTCACCATGTGATGACTGCCCCCTTTCTCCAGAACACTCCCAGCTTCTTTCCTAATTTTAATGACATGTGCCCATTGGGCAGATGGGAATCATGGTTCTCAAGCACATTAAGATGATTTCTTCACCCTAGAGCTCCTTTAATTCTGCAGTCTTAAAAAAAGAATAGGATTCCAAAGTTAGAGTTACTATGTGTCCCTTGAGTGCTCAGTGAGTTGGCCGTGTGTGTGTGTGTGTGTGTGTGTGTGTGTGTGTGTGTGTGGGTGTGTGTGTAAAGCTCAGTGGGATGCCATTCCAGTTGAATGGGGTGGGGAAGAAGGAAGGGCAGTGGCTCTCCCAGGAGCAGATCTGTATGGAAGATGAGGGATGTGACACTGACCTTATATTTAGAGGATAAATGGGTCCTTTAAAAAGGCTACTGAATAGGACCACAGGGGAGGGCTGTGAGAAAGGACAGGAATAGGTCAATGACTTGGGACTGGTAAAAGGGGCTGAGACTGAAAAAAGTGGATTTGCCCTGGTGGGCACCCATTTCCCTTCCCCTAAGGGCTACATCCTGCTAGAACAGACCAGGGAGGCGGATCTGGGAGGCACTGCCCAGGAAGACCCAGCTCAGCCGTGCCAGTGGGTTATGCCATAGACTAAAGGAAGAGGGGTTTTGGTTGGAACGACCCCCTCGGGAAGATGATCCCGGCGAAGGCACCACGGAGTATTGAAGGCAAGAGCCCCTGGGTGACTCGATGGGGCCGAGGCTGGCAAGGTCCATCTCCCTATTCCCTCGGAGAAGGAGGTAGAGGCAGGCACCACGGTCGGAAAGTCCTTTGGAACTTTCTGCATTTTCTTAACAATGGTCTGAACCAATGAAGAAGAGGCAGGGGGTGTTCCCGTGCCATGGATGGGGGTCCCAGGGGAAGGGGCCACGCCTCAGGTAAGTGGGCGTGTGAATGGCCGATTGAGAGGCTGCCTAAATCCAAGTGCAGAATCCACTTTTGTTTTGTCCTGCTGACCCACCTAGTGGACAGGCGGGTCCCATTCACGACTGCCTTTCCTTTCCAAAGCGCTCGGTAGGTGTGTGCCTGCGAGGTCAGGGGGACGGGGCGGGTCCCTGTTGGAACGTTCCACCAGTGGGAGGGGGGGACACTAGGTGGAAGGTACCACTGGACAGGTTAGTAGGGAGGTGCCCGATTGAATCACATCCTAGGATCCCTCTGATCCCAAAGAGATCAGGTGGTGTCCGATGGCCAGATAGAGGATGGGACAGGGCAGACGGCAGGCCAGGTGGCGAGGTCGGAGACCTCGCAGCTCAGACAGCAGTCATGTCCAGCACAGGCCCTGCGTCCCCTACTCCAGGAGATCGGGCACTGGGTCCGGGTTCCGGACCTGGTCGGCGTGGAGCTGGGCGCGCACCTCCTGCAGTTCTTGCCGCAGCTCCTCCAGGGCGCCCTTCGCCGGCGTCGCCTGCACCTGCCCCTGCAGCGTTTCCAGAGCCAGCGCCAGGTGGCCCATCTCGTCCCGCAACGCGTTCCACGCGGCGCGCCGCTCGGCTTCCTTGTGGCGCCGCTGCGCCTGTTGGCGCAAGTACTCCATCAGCAGGCAGCCGCAGGCCGTGACGAAGATGATGGCCTCGCCCAGCAGCTCCGCGCCCAGCTCGGCGGCTGCCCCCTCGTTCAGCGGCTTCACGGCTTCGGCGTTGAAGCCCATGATGCGCATCTTAGTCCGCATCTCCGCCCAGTGGTACACTGCGAGGGAGAGAGGGTCGGGGGTCTCAGAGGGGCGCCCCCTGCCAGCCCCTCCCCTCCAAGTCCCGTCTGCGCCTTAGGGACCAGAATCGCTGGGCTGGCTTTAGGGAGCTGGTGCCTTAAAGAAGATAAGAGCCAGCCCCAAGTCCTGCCAGGAATGCTATTATCTTTATCCGGCCTGGGGTGACCCGAGGGCATCTTTTAAAAGATTCTGGCGAGCAGCTAGGAACGAAAAAAGGCTGCCCTAGTGCTGGTGGAGATCCTCAACCGGGGGCCACTCCCGGGTTGGGTGAGGAGGTCACAGGAGGTCCCAGAGTACAAAGTCCAGCCACGGAGAGCCCCTGAGTCTGCACCTCCCACAACCCTCGGGTGAGCCAGCCGGCTCCAGCCCTCCTCCCTGAAGGGAGGGGACCGGTCCTGAAGCGCGTTCCGGGTGGGCTTGGGGCGCTCGCTTTGGATGGAGTTTCCTTTCTGCTGCTCTAGGGAAAACTGCTTCCCCACCCGGTCGCTTATTCCCGTGACAGGGGTCCTCAGCCCCAGAGCTGAGCCGACACGGAGCTCCAGTGACGGTTAATAACCACCCCTGGGCGCCTGGACTGCGGGGAACAGCAAGCCGCCTCTACTCCCTCAAAGATGGATTTCTAACAGCATCTTACATCTCACCCCCCCACACCGCCCCCCGCAGCAGCCAGGCAGACTTTTCAAATAATTAACTTTTCTTGGATGTAGTTACAATAATAACATATGCACAAGGGCGGAGTTAGACCACACAGAATTCCACCTTCCCGCGTCTCCATTAGTCCTAGTCCTCAAAAGTTAATTACTTTTGATCTTTTCTATATTTGTTTCTATTACTTTAACCATGTAATGCCAAATAAAAAGATAATGCTTCTACTTCTTTGTTTAGTACATTGATTCGTGTGTATATAGGCCTTGCTGGGGACAGAAAGCAAGACCTGCCTACTAGACAAGCCTTCTACCTCTGAGCCACATCCCCAGCCCTGTCTGCTCTATCATCATTTTTACATGGTCAGGGTGCCTTCCCCAGGTTATAATAAATCTTCAGTGCTTTGTCCATACACTGAGTCTGAAGGTGAAACTATAGAGCTGGTATATTAAAGTATGTAAATGCTAATCAATGTGGATCTGTATGAAGACATAATCCTACTTCATTAAACCAATGCCATGTAAAATTGTAACATTAAATGTAGGGTCTAAACACTTTGTCAGGCCACATTTTTGTTTTCTTATATTTCAACCTTGATTTTACTGCATGAAGGTTTTATTTTTTAATGTTGATTTATTTTTGGTACCAGAGATTGAACCCAGGGATGCTTAACCACTGAGCCACATCCCCAGTCCTTTTGGTATTTTATTTAGAGACAAGATCTTGCCCAGTTGCTTAGGGCCTCCCTAAATTTCTGAGGCTGGCTTTGAACTTGTGATCCTCCTGTCTCAGCCTCCTGAGCTGCTGAGATTATAGGTGTGTATCATTGCATCAGGCACTGAACATTTAAATTTTTCCTAGAATGGTGTTTTTCAAACTGCCACAATGGGACTTCATGCCTAGCTCACCATGAGGCCAATATCAATCAGCACTTTGCTCCTATTCGGTTTATTAAATAGTCTTGGATATACTGCCTGTTCCCTGGGCTGCTGCAGGACTATCCTCTTACAATGTCTTCACACTGCTCCTCTGTTGAATCCCATTTTAGTTTTGCTGGAATATATCCCTAAGTACTTTTTGTAGAAAGGTTGTCTGGTAGGTAAGTGATTTGCATTCTTACATATTATAAGTGGGTTTTTTTTCCACTTTCATGACAGAATAGGTAACAGTTTATAGGCCCAGAATGACTGGTTCAGAATCATATCCTTGGCAATATGGAGTCCTGGTTTTCTTACCTGTAATGACAGAGGCGTTTCTTGTCATCTCTGTTTCACTGGCTTTATACTTAATTGGGTGTATGAGAAAGTTTCTCTTCTTTCCTTTAGTTTGCACTCTTCTGTTTGAACCATGTTTCTCTTTTGAGTCCTGGGAAATTTTATTTTCTGTATAGTCAAGGATTAACCTCGCTGAAATAGAGGTCTGGCCTCTGCCCTCCACTACTGGGAGGTGATCTTTAAGTCCTTTGAATGTCCGGTTTGAGCAGACTGTGTTGTTTGTCGGGTGCCTTCAGCCACACCACAGTTTATGTTAACTAGGAGATTTATGATGTGGCATTTGGGCCCTGTGGGATCGGCTCAACCTCGGGAGGGACTAGAAACTAAGGTCAGCCCCGGGGTGGTCAGCTTCATCTGATCCTCCTAAAAACCCTGCACATCAGGGCCCGGGTGAGCTCCCCTGGTCGGCACATCTTGACATACTTGTCACTCATCCTTGCTGGGAGAAGTCAGTACTGTCCAGATTCCACTGGGAATGGACACTTGGGAGCTGGTTCTTGGAACCCTCTGGACTCTGCTCATGCCGTGCTTCTCGTGATGGGTTTTCACCTGGATCCTGTCCCCGTAACGAACCTCAGTGCCGAGTATGACAGATTGCAGGGGGTTTTTCGAGTCCATTCGGGAAATTATGGAGCCTGAGGGTGGCCTTGGAGACCCCCCAGTTCTGCGTGTCTCATCTGTGGCCTGCTCTCGGTCCTCCTTCTGCCCTGCGGCAGCACTCGGGCACCAGGGCCTGCGCTGATGCGCACCTTTCCTTCCTGTGTTCCCACTGCTCTCCTCTCCCTCAGGTCGGGAGCTCCCACGGGCTTCTCCTCTCAGAGCTTCATGTCCGCGCCCTCCCCCAGTCTTGGTAGGCTTTTTTCTTTAAATATTTTTTTTATTGTAAAATATCCAAACAGGGGCTGGAGATGCAGCTCAGCACTTGCCCAGCATGTCAAGGCCCTGGGTTCAATCCCCAGCACTGGAAAAAACAAACAAACAAACAAACAAACAAAAAAAAAGAGACAGAGAGAGAGAGAGAGAGAGAGAGAGAGAGAAATCCAAACATACTAAACAGCATCTATTGAGCTTTATCAAATTCACACCTTGATATGTGGATTATTTACAATTTCTGCAGAGGGAACAGGGGCAGCCTCACCTGGCGAGAGCCAGAATCGAGGCAGGATTGACATTGGTGCTCCCAGGAGGGGTCCCTGGGGCTTCTTTCCTTGCTTTGCCCGCTGTCTGTCCCTTCCCTGATCAAGTCTGCTCCTCTGCAACCCAGGTCCTGCCCCAGCTCCTCCCAGGCCTCCTGTCCCCCTCTTGCCTCCTCCACTCAGCCCCAGAAGACAGACAGAGGTGGTTTTTTGTTTTGTTTTTTTTTTTTTTTTTGAGGGGAGGGAGCCTCAACCACTGAGCTCTGTTTTGTATTTTATTTAGAGACAGGGTCTCACTGAGTTGCTTAGCACCTCATTTTTGCTGAGGTTGCCTTTGAACTCACAATCCTCCTGCCTCAGCCTCCCAAGCCGCTGGGATTACAGGTGTGCGCCAGCAGCCAGAGGTCTTTCTAAAGCCTAAACCAACCCTGACTTCCCTGCTCAGAACATCTTTGGCTCACAGGGGCCCTGAGAGGATGACCAAATTTTTAATTTTATTTATTTATTTAGGTAACAGAGATTGAATCCAGGGGTGCGTAACCACACCCCCACATCCCCATATCTTCTTATTTTTTATTTAAAGACAGTGTCTCACAAAGTTGCTTAGGGACTCACTAAATTGCTGAGGCTGGCTTTGAACTTGCAATCCTCCTGCCTCAGCCTCCAGAGTCACTAGGATTATAGGAGTGCACCACTGTGCCTGGCACTAGTTAATTTTTAAATGACCAGCAGACACCCGTGTCCCACGTATGTGGTTTCCTTTTACCCTACACCCATGAGGCCGCCTTTGAACCTCAGCAGGATCCTAATCCAGGATTCAGGCCGGAGAGGCCAGTTCGCTGGGAAGCCCAGCTCTTCACCAGGCCACGCTTCTGTTAGTGGGGAACAAAACAGGTGAGGTGCATTCGGTCTCCTGTGGGAGGGGCCCTCCAGAGGGGCAGGGTGAGGCCAGGAGCCTGGAACTGGTTTGACAAGGATCAACAAGCACCTGGGTCTTCAGCAGGTGCCCTGCTTCTTCCTGAAGGAGGAGCAGAGCCACCATTCTGCAGCAAGCAGGGCGTCTCCTCTGACCTTGGCCTGGACATAAGTCAGACTCCATCGGATTTGAGAATCAGCCCGTCAACGTGCACGCACACACACGTTCACACCTGTGGCATTGTAATTGGGATTATCTTGAATCCATTATTCAGTTTAAGGATGTCAGGACATCTTTGCAACATTGAATATTGATTAAATACTGAATACTGAAGATTTTGGCATACAAATTATATTCAAGTGAAAACGTTTGAAATCAGAACTTTTCTTATCTGACTCAAGTAAAGCCTCTTGAAAGCGTGTGGAATTCAGGAAGGAGACAGCATTGCAACAACAGAACCATCCCCACTTTCCCACGGGAGCCACGAATCCCTCCCCTTTGTGTTAAGTTGGTATAAATCTTGTCCTGTGGCCATTCAGCCAGTAACTCAGGGCAGTGCTCTGGCCTGCGTGGGATACATTTTGTCTTTTCCCTGTTGATCTGCTTTTGGCAGTTAATTTGCAGACCTCTCCCCCCCATCATTCAGAGCTAAACTGATGGAGTAGCACCCCCAACACGATCCATGCACATGGCATCCCTCTTGATTTAGGTCGTATGAATTTTATCTTGATGTTTTATAGATAACAGAGTAGAAATAGTGAATATAGTTTAGAAATAGTGAATAGTTCAGTTTATTCCTATGGGTTAGATATTTTGATATATTTTATGCTAGTGTGATGGTGTCATTGTAAAATTTCACCCCTCCCTTGTTTTCCAGTTCTGCTCTACCACGGAGTTAGATTCCCCTCCCCCCCTTTCTCTAATAGTTTTTTTACTTGGAGGCACCAAATCGCCCAGGCTGGCCTGGAACTTGCAATCTCCTGAATCTCCTGCCTCAGCCTTCTGAACAGCTAGAACTACAGGCATCCGATTAAAATTTCATTTTTTATTTGAGCTGACAATGGGAATAACCGATTTCTGAACACCGACACTGTGACGTTGATAGATCAGTTTGTCTGCAGATTCTGGTTTTCCGGGTGGGGGGCTGGGGACTTGCTGCTTGGCCCAGGTTGGGCTCTAACTCATGGCCCTCCTGCCTCAGGCTGTGGAGTAACTGAGGTTGTACATGGTGTGTGCCCAGCCTCGCCCACGCCAGGCAAGTGCTCTTCCAGTGAGCTACATCCCCAGGTTCCCTTCATTGGAAACATGGTTTCTAAATATTTCCTTCCACTCTGTGATTTGTCCTCTCATGTTCTTGATGGCACCAAATTCTACTCTACCAACTTTTCTGAGGTATAATTCACGTGCAACAAACTGAACTTTTTTGCTTTTTGGGTTTTTTTTTGGGGGGGGGGCAGGGTACCAGGAATTGAACTCAGGGGCACTCGACCACTGAGCCCCATCCCCAGCCCTATTTTGTATTTTATTTAGAGACAGGTCTCACTGAGTTGCTTAGCGCCTTGTCCTAGCTGAAGCTGGCTTTGAACTTCGGATCCTCCTGTCTCAGCCTCCTGAGTTGCTGGGATTACAGGTGTGCCCGGCCTTGAACTTTTTTGTTTTTTGTGGTCCTGGGAATCGATCCCGGGGCTTCATGCATGAGAGGCAAGCTCTACCACTGAGCCACACCCCTGCCCTAGACTGAACTTTTTACAGGATGATTTCTCGTGTTCTATCATGGGTATGTGCCATGAAGCCACGGCCATAGTCAAGACCCTGTACATGAGGCACTGAGACATGTCACCACAGGGCTGAGCCTCAAAATCTTGCTAAATGGAAGAAGCCAGACCCAATGATGTCGCATTCTGTGATTCCACTTATATGAAATATCCAAAGTAGACACATCCAGAAAGAAAAACCAGATTGGCAGTTGCCAGGGCTGGAGGAGCGGGATGGGGATGATGGCTCAATAATACTGAGTGTCCTTCTGGGTGGTGGCCAGCCATGGGCAGGCACTAAGTGCTGCTGAACTATCCACTTGAAAAGAGTCAATTTCCTGGGTGCAGCGGTGCAGCCTGTGATCCCAGCGACTTCGGAGGCTGAGGCAGGAGGAGAGCAAGTTCCAGGTCAGCCTGGTGACTCAGAGAGACCCTGAGTCTAAATAAATAAAATAAATAAATAAAGAGAGCACTTGCCTGGCATGTGTGGGACCCTGGGTTCAATCCCTAGCACCACAAAAGAAAAAGTTGATTTTCTTTTTTATTTTTTTAAGAGTTTATTTTTTTAGAGAGAGAGAGAGGATTTTAATATTTATTTTTCAGTTTTCAGCAGACACAACACCTTTGTTTGTATGTGGTGCTGAGGATCGAACCCGGGCCGCACGCATGCCAGGCGAGCGCGCTACTGCTTGAGCCACATCCCCAGCCCAAAGGTTGATTTTCTATTGTATAAATTTCACAAATAGCAAAATAAGGACGGCAAGGCCACTCAAGACTGCGGAACGGCCTCACAGTGGGTTGTGGGGTCAGGGGTCCAGGACCAGGAGTCAGGACAGGGACAGCCCTTTCTCGGTCCCAGGAGTGTCCCCCAGGCTGGGTCCCTTCAGCCACAGCAGCTGTCCCTCCTGAGGCCTGCACTGCACCCATTCCAGGAAGCTGAGTGTGAACACCCGTGGCCTCTGGGGCTGGCCACTGCTGTGAGGTCCATTGGGATGTGACATTGCTTCAGAGGCCGCAGGGAGGGATGCAGGAGTGGGGGAGTGGCTACCTGGCCATGTGCCCAGAGGCTGCGGGGCAGCTCTGAAGCCCCTGGGTGGGGGGTTGTGGGCTCGTGGAGCGGGAGGGAGATGATGCTGCGCTCACCTGGGGCAGGTGTGTTCGCGAGTCCAGCAAAGTAGGCGACACTGCTCCTCTGCTGGCACCCAAGGCGCCCGCTCCCTGCTACAGCACAGATACATCTGTCCCCAAGTTCCCATGCGGCAGACTGGGTCCTCAGGGTGGCAACGCTGAGGTACTGGGACTTTTAAGAAGTGGAGTCTCCTGGGAGGTCACTGGGGACGCGTTCTCAGGAGAAAGGTGCTCAGAGTCCCGCCCTCTGTCCTGGCCTCCTGTCTCTCATGGGGTGGCTCTTTCTGGGACACGCTGCACCATGGGGATGCCTTTGCTGTGATGAAGCCAGACACACAGGACACACAGGGTCGGACTGCATTTACACAAAATGTCCCCAGGACTGCCCTGGGGACAAAGATGAACAGTGTGTGGGCGCAGGTGCTGGGTGACAGGTGAACGCACGCGGGGACTGCAAGTCAAAACCACAGTGAATGGCCGTGGTCACAAAGCCAGAGAGTAACAGGGGTCGGTGGAGACGCTGGCACCTGTGCCTCCCGGCAGCCGAGGGCATTGTGCGTGGAAAAGTGGACGTTCCTGAAACAGCGACGCTCAGTGGCCACACGCCCAGGGACACGCAGACACGTCCACACAGAGACCTGCACCCGAGTGTCCGGAGCAGCCACATCCCCAACGGCCAACCTCCAGACACCCCGAGAGCCATCGCTGGTGCGTGGATGCACAAAATGCGCGACATTCATGCGATGACACCTTGGCCGTCCAAAGGAATGACGCGGGGGCACACGCTGCGGGCAGAGGCCCTGGAAAAGCTTCTGGTACGTGGGAGAAGCCACACGGACCACACAGGGTGCCGCTGCATTGACACGAAATGTCTGCGCAGGGACAGGCAGGAGGGGGGGGCAGGGGCTGGGGGGAGGGAGGACATGAGGACCGACGGCTGATGAGCTTGGGGTTCTTTTGGGATGAAGAAAATGTTCTGAAGTCAGTTGTGATGGACGCACAATCTGAAC